CGACTGGCAGAAGTGGTCGTAGCATTTTTCGACTCACAGGATAGCCTCGCTGGGCGTTCCTGCTGCTCAAGGAGGGCGCCTTCCCCCATGAGCTTGAGCACTTCGGGTTCTTTGGTCACGAGAGCCGGTCAGAGGGTCCGGCGGGGCCTTTCCCTTGCGGTCCCGGTCTAGCCTCAAGCCCGTACACCGCGACAATGTAGAACCCATGTACGGGTTAACGATAGTATTATGTTTTAATGCTGAAAGGTGAACTCAAGCTAGGTCTGCAAGTACTGGGTGATTAGACCGTGCAGAGGCCGCACCACCTCGTTATTTCTGCAATGTCCCAAACTGAACAGAAACCATATGGCTGATGTATATCATTCTCTTTTCTTCCGTGGAACGAAATGGCTTCAGCCGTTACCATTGGACTTGCAAAAGGCGCGAAATACCGATGCGTCTACAAAGAAATTGAGGAAATTAGACCTTCTTGCTTTCTTAGGCATACAGGATTTCCAGAGGTGTATAGCCTGGAGAGTATCCAATTATGGTTATGGTTTTTCTTATTGTGCTTCCTTTTGACTTTTTTGCTGTTTAGGTAGGCAACTTGTTCCGTTTCCTTGTTTTCTACTGAAACGCACCTTTGTGTGTATTTTAAACTGTTGACTGAATAAATAAAAAGTCTCACTGTGACACGAACTTCGAGTGGTTTAGTTCGTTTTGTAGTCCTTTTTCTCTGAAAAAAGCTCAGCTTGCCAAGATTTGAGGCTAACGCCTCGTACAACCAGCCGAGGTCACCTTACGAAAGAGGAAACTACAAACTCCAATACATCTCCGGAACAGAATCGTTTCTATGTGATGCCGTGGATTTGTTCTTGCTGCAAAAAAATCTTACGTGTGCAGTAAAGCGCGGCTTTTTCATTGAGCATCAATTCCTCAGAATGCAACCTTCTGCAAACTCCTGAATATACAAAGCAGATCTACTTGTATTACCGATCCCGGATTTCAGTGGCAATATTTGGCAATGGAACAGTTCTTTGTCTCAATGCGACAGCAATGTGCCCTGACAGGCCATGACGGGAATGCGCTGATACGGTTATGAGATCGCTGGTTCCTAGATATCAGCGGAATGGAAAAGAAGTTCACTGTAAGTGTTGAATCAGTTTTTCATAGAAAATCTGTATTAGTTATCGGAAGAAGGGATATTGGAAAAAGAAACAGCAACAAGAGACCTCCCCAGCATATGACATCACACAAAAAAAAAATGTATTAGGTTGATGCATAATTATGAGTGTGAGTGTCAGTGCCTAACAACTAGTGTGAAGAAATTGTAAGCCATATCACAATATTCGCGAAAAAATAAACTGCCCTTATTCTGTGCCCCGTCAAAGCACTCTGCAAAAAATGTAAGAAGCGAATGCTTTTCAAATGCGAAGGACCGCTGCACACGTCCCTCTAAAACGCAGTGAGGTTGCTGGCCCTGACCTATCAACTGCCTGTCCCTCCTGACGTGGGCCGCCCTTACACGGGATTCAAAACCGCCATCTATGCGAAAGATGTTTTTCACCAGTGGCCAGTTTTTCGTTGTTTTCTATGCACCCTTTTGAGAAGGGATATCTTTGCAGAAATGTCTCTTGGCCGAGGCGTAAGAGAACACTATCGTCCACTGAAGCACAGTTTGGAGTACGGCGTAGCTCCGTTCACATTATTACAATTTTCATTATTATTTTGGGTAAGGCGGAAGAGGATGGTTAGAGTGAAAAAATCTTCGGAATCATTGAAATTTCACCATCCGTCCAAGTTTTCCTTTCTGTTTCGTCTACTAGTGCCAACTTCTGCTCGACTTTTAACAATTTTGTCCCATCAATGAACTACAAATGCTCGAGCAATTCCATGAAGTGGACACTTTTCTGAATATATCTAATTTTAGGGGGTTCCTGTTCATAACCAGTATCCCCATTAACACTTGGTTGTAGTACTCATCGAGGAGCAGGAAGAACAGGTTCATTGTGATACTCGCAAATCAAAGGTTCTCAGACAAATCCCACTAGACGAAGGATGATTTTATTGGGTTTTACAGGAACCCTTTTTGTGGTTCCATAATTAGCTAAAGGTCATTCACTTTCAGTGCTTCCTGCTTTTTGCGAATGGGAGTGGAGTTCTGTGTTCCTCTCCTCTGATAGAAGGAACAACATTAGTGTCAGTGTGAGTGTCAGTGCCAACATAATATTAGGTTGATGCATAATTATTGCGGATTTTTTACAGCAAATTTTAGATAAAGAAACGATGGAAATTTTTAGCAGAAACATGTTCGAATAATTACTCTAAAACCTATCCACCATCCACGTCAAGCACTGCTTACCATTTGCTATGTAGCCGGATTCCACAGACGAAGAAGTTTTAGTCCTTGGAGGCGATCCTCACCTTGACATCGGCCACCAAGTTATCCATTTCGTCGTAAGGCCTTTTTGCTAGCCAATCTTTCAACGAACGGGTAACGTGGTAACTTAGGAGATTATGTGGGTCAATATGGAGATTTAGAAGCAGATCCCAGTCCTCATTTTGCTTTGGCTGACAATTCCATCGCCAAAAAGTTCGTTGAGATCGCGTAATGAGTGTGCCACCTTTCATCATTTCTCGAAGTAATAAAGCATAATGTGGCGAGTAAGACGATGACTTCCTAGACATATTTCTATTAAGGGAAGCGAGTAGATTAATTCTGTAAAAATCTTGACTTTGATATTGAAATTGTGTGAAGAGAAAAGAAGCCGCGAAAAATCCGCAATAATTATGCATCAACCTAATAGTAAGCCATGCCGCCTGTCATCCTTCACAAAAGTCCGGTACGTATGTACAGTAGCGCTCAAAAGTATTCGACGTGCTTCTGCGGTTATACTTTTCAGTCGTACCTCCTTTCCTAGTGGATCGAATTACGCGAAATTTGGGTATGTGTAGCATGGGTGTAGTGTGAATATTTACCACTAGTAATCTGCAGTCTGATCATGTTCCAGATATCCCGAAGGGCTTGAACATAAAATCAACTGGAAATACAACTGAATGCCCTTCCGGAATTTCTTTCCTTTTCGCCATGTCTAAAGTGTACGAGCGCTAATGTCGAACCCAGAAGAGAAGAGAAACGTACATAAGGTCCAAATAACCGCAGGCGTCACAAACTTTTTTTCAGCACAGTCTACGAGCGGCTCCCCATTAGTATGTGGATATGGCTGTTTTGCAGTCAAGTGGTGCTGTACAGTGTAAAATATGCCTCAGCTAAACATATCAAAAGTTCAAGCGATTTGCTCCACTGAGAAAAAAGTTACGGCCGAAAAGGCTTAGCCGAATACTTTCGAGCGCTCCTATACTTCGTGGCGAAACGCTCAAAGGGCTATGAAATCATTCCGCAAGAAGATATTAACAATAAAACAGTATGAATAATAAACAACGCTAAAGAACTTTTAAGAGAGGTAATAATTGGAAACCTTCTTTCACTGTTTGAGTAAAGCTCATCCAATTGCTGCTGTTGCGAAAACTCACCTTTTTCAAAAATCCTTCTAAGAAACCATTGCTTGTATTGCTTGCAGAAACTACAATATCTCCGACACATAAGGTTTGAAGCTCAATAGCATCTTACTGGCGGGTGATAACCTAACCTCAAGCTCTAACGCCTCACTAAAGAGTCAAGAAAAAGGTTGAACGACAATGCAATGCAGATGTCGACCAAATGGCATGCCACCACTCAGACCTTGACAGATTAAAACGAATAGGCTCCGGTGAAACACAATACTATAGTTCAAGAAAGAAGCAAACGTCTAAAGGTATAACATTACCTTGAGCAAATAGAGTGAAAAACAGCTCTGCTTAATGTAAATCATCTCTTCTGGTTGAGCCTTCTTGGCGATTTTCGCTTAGCCTTCGTAAAACGATCTCTTGCTTGGTTTTGACCCTTGAAGTGTAAGTGTAAGGTGTAAGTTCAATCCATGAAGGTAGTATAAGGAATAAACGCTTGGTGCCACAAGCACAAGTACGAGTTCGAGTCCCGTCTAAAGACGAAGTTTTGCCTAACACATCGTTCCTTCTTGTAGCACGGCTTCATTTCATTTCGATATTCAATATTGGGAAGGTTTAGCAGTACCTCATTCGAGTATTGCTGAGTATTTGGTCAATTGGACATTGAACCAACTCAAAACCGGAAGCAGAACATTTTTAAATAACTTATAACCGTTTTGGAAGTGAAAAGATTCGCAAAGCGATTCCCTCTGGTGGCAAGAGATAGCCAGTCACTCCGTATTCAGAGGGATTACACCATAGTCGTATCCTCACAAGGTGACTCGTTCGTTTGCTCACTTTTCCATGGCGAACAAAGGGAGACAGCCCACTTGAGATAGAGGTGCTACGCATGTTTTCTTTGCGAAGTTTTCGAATAATCCAATAAATCTTTATTAAATACTCTTCGGTACATAAACAACATCGCAACGTATCGCGCAGTGAAGAACAGGAAGTAACGGTGAGCGAAATCATCGTCATCGTCAAGAGAACACATTGCATATCATAAAAAAACCATAAAATGTCACAATTGATTGCTGAGTCCTTCTAGAGGAGATGAAAGCATGTTTGGCACACGGGATTATTTCTTCTAAAACAAGACTGCATGATAGGCAGCCGAGATTCGGAGAGGAGAAAGCCACTAGGCTTTTCTAACCTTGCCCGACGAGTCGCCCTTCTTAACGGCCTGGCTCGTTTTACGCAAATTTTGAGCCGACGTTTTACTGACATCGCTAGCCTTCTTTGTCAGTGGTTTGCCACTTGGTGCAGCCGCGGCAGACTTCTTCGATGTCGGTTTCGCGGTCGTTGGAGTGACTGTCGACGTCTGGGATATCTACAAAGAGCGTCTGCACACTAGGTAACGAATTGGGAAACCGCTGAAATCAATTACCTGTCGCGTAGGCATAGCCTTCTTGGAGGCGACGGCTTGGGCGTCAGAAAACGCTACCCCTTTGCGCATTGGCTCTGTCGGTTGCGATGGAGCAAGGGACGTGAGTGGTGACGACTAAAATTGTCAGTAATGAACTCGGAGTGGTGTAATTATCTAGAAGACTCAACATTAAAAGTAAGGTGACCAAGCGGTCCAAATAGATTGAATGCAGTTCACATATCAATAACTGGTGAAAATCTAGCAGCCTTCAACCACAACTACAAATCGCGATACTCACCTGTAAAAAATTGGATGGCACTAGACCACGTAGCCCGTTCAACTCTCCCATGTAGAAACCGTCGTCATCCATCTCCCCATAGACCGTGATAATGTCCCCTTGCCGGAAAGATAGCTCTACCTGCAACGTGATTTATAGGAACATCAAGCAGGAAAGAGAAAAATCAGAATTTACCTGCTCGGCGTCCACATTTGGACTCAACTGACGAGAATCGTAGTCAAATTTGGCCACCATTTTCTTTGTCGGCACGCCATTTATGCTATAAAAGGAAAAGCCTTCCTGATATCTGACGGGAGTCGAGTACCATTCCAATATCACTTACCCCGTATCTAATACACCAGGTTGCATTCCGGTTGAGAGACCAGGTAACGCCTGAGGCATCTGCTGAGCAGCCGCTGGTTGCATCGCTGATGTCACCATTTGCATTTGACCCAGCTGATGAGCCAGTTGTGCCATTTGCGGTGGTCCGCCATGGCTCGGACCCTGACCGGTCTGCTGCGGAGCAGCTACTGGTTGCATCGCTCCAGACGGACCAGCACTTCCTGGATCGTACCGTTGCGCATAGGGGTCATAATGGCGATCTTCTCGGTATCCTTCATCACGCCGATCTCGTCGATAAGGCTCTTCCCGTGGGTACTCATGCCGCCGTTCATACTCCCGCCGTTCCTCTCGTCGTTCAGCTTCTCTGCGCTCGACTTCTCGCCGTTCCACATCTCGTCGTTCCACTTCCCGTCGCTCGATTTCCCGTCGTTCTGCTTCTCGTCGCTCTTCTCGCCTATCATCACGCCGTTCATAGTCTCTATCTCGCTCCCGCTCACGTTCATAAGCACGATCTCGGTACTTTTCAGCCCAATATTCTTCTTCGTCTCGGTAGTCGCGGTGGTAGTCATCCCGTGTAGCCCTAGGTTCCCGCATCTCCCTATGTTCCCTCGGTTCTCGCATTTCTCGATATCGGTCATCATAGTCCCGTCGATACTCATAGTCGCGCCCATTGCTTCGACGGTAACGCTCGCCCCTCGTCGCAGACACCTCTCGTCTTTCTAATTCTCGGCGGTCAAGCGACGATGCGAAATGTGACGTTGTTGGAGGCCTGTCGTGAGTCCTTCTATCGCCTGCATGGTCGTAGCTTCGTGATTTCAATGATCCCCATCGCATTCGCCGGAGTGTCGGCTCGGCTCCTGAGGGCACAGCATCCGTTCGAGTCCTTCTTGGAAGCAGATCATCCTTTGCGATTTCAATAACCATGTTCGATGGTACAAGCCCAACCCGATTGCCAATCTGTCCATGGTAGAAACCGTCAGCATCCACTTCGCCGTACACCTGCAACAGATTCCACGTGAGCAGAGAAGCTGAAAGACATCTTTTGATGGGATACCTTTATCAATTGATGTTTCCTGAATGATAACTCATCCGCTTCAGCATTCGCGTTCGGTGACATGTGGTGTGAATAATCGAACAAGGCCACAAACCTGAACATAAAAGTTATTGGAGCAGGTTCACCTTTATATTAAAGCATCACTCACCATCTGCAGTCATCTTCTAGCGTCGGCGGACGCAGATCAGGCTCACTCCTTGTCCCAAAACCACTTTCGCTCTTCACTCGTGCCAGTCGTGGAGGAACCAATCTTAATTGTTTTCAGACTCAATGTTATGCAGATAATGCAGATAAGGTGGTTCAAAAGCCGGCCAATATTTCGAAAGGTATGACTTGTGAACCCGGCTATGCACACAACGTACCATTACTTTCAGATTTCTGCACAACTCTAGACTTCGCCTAACTTCGCGGCATCAAACACTTGTCCCATACACACATTCTTCCATCAAAACCTTCAGAATAGCCTTCAAATTGATGAAATACCGAGAAAGTAAGCAGAAGCAATAAAACTCGATGGAACTAGATAACAGGACTCGTTCCTAGGGGGAAGCCGGTAGAAACTTATTTTACTTCCGAGTTTGGAGCGATAAAAACGAGACACCTTGTTGAACCGAAGAATCTTTCCGTTTCGATTTGAAGGCGAAACGTGACGCTGACGTAGTTTCTAGATCTCTGCTCCCATCAAGTGCAGGTTTTAATTGGGAATAAATAGATATACAGAGGGGAATGAAAAACGCAACATTTTCCAAAAACGAAATTCTCTGAGCTGCTTTCAATGTGAAGTAAAGTAAATTCGAAAGTGAGGGGTAAAATAAGTGACGAATTCGGTCAGAGAGGTTAGAACATGGATCGCTCACTGGGAATACCCGAGAGATTGTAGATTGATAAAGTGCTAGGATATCTGAATTTTATGGATTCAAGAGACATGCTGGAAAAGAGCAAAGACAAGAGAAATTGGGCGAGGGGTCAAGGCGCCAAACTCTATTGCGACGAATAAATCTACAGCAGTGGCCGTGCGCCCAAGTACCCTGTCTCCGCTGTCAACAGGATAACTTGTCGAATCATGGTTCATAGATAGACCCAAAAGAGTAGTACTAAGTGGGTACATTTGTGCACACTACAAGCCCGCTGCCCCAGGTGGACAAATGGGTTCTATCTGAGCCTTGACGATGCTATAGGGTCAGTTCCGAATGATTACAACTCACAATAACAGATGGCTACTTTGGCAGTGATCGAAAGAGCTTCAAAAGAATTTACTGAGGCAAGGATGTAGGAGTCAGAGGGGAAGAAGCAAAAGGTGTCTCCGATTTGGCCATAGTCTAGGGCTGTCACTGTGCAGTTCCTTCTTCGCGGGGAAGGAGACTCAGAAGGAAAGCCACAGCTAGTAAAAGTCATCCATGTACTCGTAAGAAGAAGGTCCCCCAAAACTGTAAAGGAACGATTAAGCGTGGTTCTGAAGCGTTCAAGAGCGATCAAGTCCCTCGAGTTACGTAGCAGAAGAAACTTGCTTACAAGCGCTGGCAGAAGATGCGAGCTCAAGAGGACCTAACTATCTACGGAAGTGCAGGAGGCCCAGCAAGGCTACTGTAGAGAAGACAAAAAATACGGAAATGGGGGCCCTGTACTAGAAGTTCGATGTTAGTTAAGAAAGTTCATTGTTCGCCCAAGCGGAAGCGACCTCGAGCTCCTCCAACATTGTGGTATTGAGGGCTGTAAAGGACAACGATGGTGCGGTCCTGAGCAAGCCTAGTGAGGTTAAGCGCAGTAGGAAAGTTTACTTCAATGAGCTCTTGAACGAAGGTATCTGTAGTGAGATAAGTCCCCGAATGGAAACGATGGCTGCTCCCTTCGCACTCTATATACCGAAGTGGAGATCGGTAGAACAATGGGCACAGCGAACAACGGGAATGCAACTGGCCTGGATAATGTAACAATCGTGGAAAACGCTCGGAGAGCACGCGATCGGTGAATCACCCGATTCCCGAACACTGAATGATAAAGGGAGAATGAGAGATGCGTGGAGGAGCCGGGCTACCGTTCTTGACTTGAAACAGAAAGGGACGCGGTGGTGATTCAACTATCGTCGGGTCAGGATGATAGCGCACAAGATGAAACTGTACGGGAGGTCAGTCGACGTGAGATTGGAAGAACCTAGGTCTCGATTTCATAGGAGCAATTCCGTTTCATGCCTAAAAGGTTTCAAGGGATGCCGTCGTCATACCTGGGCAAATGATGGAGAGGTGTCAACAGTAGACGAGACGGTTTTGATCAGCTTAGAGTCTTCTTCCTTTTTTCTTCGCTAAGAATGGATGTAATCACAAAAGGAATCCTGGATGGACCACGGAAGGCTATTCGCTACGCTGATGACAGCGGGCAAGGAGTACAGGGTAGGTTTTAGAAATGGCAGAAAGCGCTGACGGAGATTGGGCTCCGTCTGAACGCGAAGAAAACCAGGTTACCCAGTTCCGAGCAGAGAATCGTAGACGGTCTCGGGGAGGAAGCCACTGAAAGTGTATAGAAGAGCCAATAACTGGAAAGAAGCAAAGCTCAATAAAGGCGGCATGGAAATAATCTAGCGATGTGTTCTGCGACCAACGGAGGTGCTCTGAGGAGCTCAAAGGAAAGGTGTACCGAGCAGGAGTAAGACGGCGATGTCTTGTGGCAGCGAGTGTTGGCGTGTAAGTTAAAACCATTGTGGACAATCTAATTCCATAGGAATAAAGTTGCTCAAAAGCCACCAGTTGGACACGATTGGGCAAGTCAAAAGCGAGGGCGACAGAGGGATCATGCAAACAGCTCTTGCCCAGCTGAAGATGAGGAAGCAGCTCTGCTATGTCATGCTGACGGCCAATAAGGATAAGGAATAAGGAGGCCGCGGAATCATACAATAAAGGAAGCGATGGAGTTTGAAGCTCAAGGGCGTGGCGTGACCAGGAACGGCCTTAGTGAAGGTAAAGAAACGGCAGAAGATGCCGTAGATCGAGGGGAAAGGAGAAGGCATACAGGAACAGCGAGACTGACGCACGAGAAAAAAAGAGTAAGAGCAAGAAGCGTAGTAGCAAAAGACGGGCTTCTGTGGCTTCCCGAACAACCGAGTGTCTTTTCATGTAGGTCAGCTAGCAGTGACAGTTTGATGATCCAAGGAGTGCACTACTCTCGAGGGTGTCGAGTTGCTACTGCTTTTGTGTGTGGAGCTTATGAAGCATGACCAGTACTGACCACTGAATACTTCGCTGTTCCATGTTAATAGAACCTTACTTCCTTTATGTCTGGAAATGATCCTACTCATTTTCATTTTAGTTACTATTAAGTAGAGATACAAGGCTTTGATGAAATCTCTCCGTAAAATGCTTCAAAGAAAGAGGTCAGAATCTGCAGGGCAAATACTGTTGATAGATCGGTAAGCTCGCTGCCACAAGTATTTGTCGGCACACTTTTCAGGAAGGGTCAATCTGTACAGCAGAGGTGGGCACTGACAGCCTTTTCCACTTGCCGCCCCTGGTAGCTTTTGTATTTCCCCCTATCAATAGGAGTGGAATGGGAGCGAAGAAGTCGGCTGGCTCTCGAGGTTCACTCTCGTTTTTGAAAGTTTTCACAAACGAAGTGAGTAGGGATCCAAGAACAAAAACGAACTTTGTCGGGCTGAAGGAGAGATAAAGAATGTCCGGCTGACCTAAGCTCTCTTCCAAATAAGTTCAAGATTGAATAATAAGTTTGCGAAATAGTCGATAATGAGGCATCCAAACGTTGGCGATAACAAGTGCTGGACATTACCTTATACTCCAACTCTCCCAATAGCTTAGCCTCAAAAACATTACCTTATACTCCGATTCTCCCAGTAGCTGAGCCTCAAAAATATTTTCAAAATTTCATCACCCATCTCTGAGCTTTCATGAGAAATTTTCCGGTCAGATAAGTAAGACTTGTGGTTATGTTATCAGGAAAGCTTTCAAACGTTTCGAAAAATGTTGCTCTTTTTACAGAAGCGTTGCTCTTTCCGGATGAGGCCAGTACTCGCTAGACTGCGACAAAACGACGAATCTCTTGCCCCAAAGAAGGCGCATGGGCTTTATCGACACGAAAAACGACCATAATGTGGCGAAATATGGTTCGGAAGTAGTCTACATTGTATGCGAAGTGGCCGTGTTTCACCTTTTTGTCGAGGCTGCACCATTGGCATTGGAGCACATATGTTGAAACTCGAACAGCTGAGGCCTTGACCCATAGCGATAGTAAAGAGCAGCTTCTGGTATTTTTCGCTTACTGCAGCCAGCTTTTTACGACTTTTACAATTGCACAGGACTGGAGCTGCGTCCGAATAACACCTTCCATGCCGCCACAGTAATCTCGTACATCCCCTACCAATACTTCTGGGAACTTTTATTTCGTGGATTTCCTCGCTTTCATCGCCTATGATGCACTGTTAAACACCGACGCTTCCGTTATTCAATTTGAAAAAACACCTAAAAATAATTGTGGACTGCGCCCTTAAGGCATGCATACCTTACCCAAATCATCACAACATTGTGTAGTTATCGGAGTGACGTCCCGATACATAGATTTGCATAGAAATCATTATGTAGAGCGCCTACTGAGAGCTGGATAAGTTACAGTTAATTCGTTCCCCATCATAGCTTCTGTCTACTATTCTTTTCATTTTGTTCCATCCAAGAAATTTCCAAAGCTTTGAAAATACACCAAAATCTACAGGGTCCACACATCGCTTCCATGAATCGCAGGATCCCAATCTTATGTAACACAAGAAAATGGCCGCTCGAACCGCCTTTAGGACCTGGTGTTTGTCTACAGAATTATCTGGCAGTGTAAAATCATTCCGATACCAGTAAGTCCCCGTGAAGAAGGTTGGATACTTGGCATGTCCCAGAAAACTACCTGCTCCTTGCTAAACCCTCCGTGAGTTTTATGTACAGCACCCTTTTATGTTCCATCTTGCGGACCTACAAGTAGTTTCCCTAATTTCGACAATCAATTAATCGTCGATGTCTGGCTTTTCCACTCGCGCAATCCGGAAGGTCCCAAGGTGCATTATGTCAATGGGTAGGAGTGAATGGAAGGACACATGCGCGTACTCTCAACGACCTCTGCCGTTCCTGATAGTGAATGTTCCCTTTGGCTACCCCATGTCTTTACGAAATCATGAGGATGCACCGTTGATTCACAATTCCATTTTTTCCAAATTTACTAATCGATACCTGTGTCTAGCTGGTGGTCTATCCTCAGCACTGCCCGCTCGAGTGCCCTGACGAGCGTAGGCGTCGATCCTCATTCGAGCGTCCATAGGACCTGCCCATTCTGAATGACCTGTCCAGTCCGACTGCCGATGTCGCAACAAATAACTGGAAGTGAAAGAAATTACAAAAAACTTTTCTAAGAGAGGAAACAGAAATGTTTACGGCACCTATTCTCCATGTCGGGAACCGACGGCCGAGGCTCGTCAGCGCTCGTGCCATCTCCTCGAATTAGCCGAGGATGAAATGTATAATATTGCTTCATCTGCGATGTCTTCCACTGCAAAAACCATTATAAAGAGAGGGTATCAGACAAAAGAGAGAGTGGACAATTCAGCAAAGCAAATTTATCGACGGCGCTTTTGCTATGGGAGGCCTTAGAGTCTCACTAATGACCATGGAAAATGAAAGACCGAAGACCCCCGACCTTGTTCTTCTCTGCGCTCTTGTCTCAGTACTTAGAATCAATAGGTTGTGTAGTTAGCATGAATAACATAGCTCTTCTATCTTTCTGCTAGCATTCAAAATACAAGGAAGAATTAAGGGAAGCCCCTCTCCAGCGTAAAGGATCACCAATTCACATGGTTTTATCTTATGTAAGATGGCGATATAGCAAATAATCCTCTTGCGTACTCTACTACACTTAGCACGCTCTCATACATTCCACAATACCCAGGCACACTTGAATATCACTACAAGATGAAGACACCCAGATGCGCTTGGGAAAGGGAAGCGGCCTCGGGAAAAGTTGACTACATTGGCTAGAAAGACTACTATAAAGTATGACTAAATTATACGACCGCTGACTGCTCAAGACATTAGGCGACTAGAGAAATGACTTGGGAGAAGCTATCTGCATATAGCTCAGGGGGTAGCGCACTCACCATGCGCATATTAAACCTGCATGTGCCCGCCCATGTCACAAGCCCATTCAGAAGGTTAGTCAAAAGCACAAAAGCATATGAAAGTTGCTCACCTTGGGCAGAGTTCCCTGTGCTCCAGCAGAAAGAGCACCGGCCATCGACGTAGAACAGAGTGCTGTCGATATCGGCAATGTACCAGGGGTGTTCATGGCATTCGGGAGCGTGGTCCCGGCACCTAAGCCTGACATCGGCATTGCAGTTGGTGCTAGAGTCCCGCTGGCACCTGGTATTGCACTAGCAGCACTCATCGCTTGACCGCCTAAAGTTGCTGGCCCGATTCGATCGGTACCGACTAAACTATTGTATCCCTGAATTGCTGAGGCAGTGTACGAAGAAAGTGGATTAGCTTGAAAGGGCATTGAAGTGAGCATTGGCGGGGCAGTGTACGGTGCACTCTGCGGTCCTGAAAGAGGTGCAACGTAGTGGCCCGTCGGAAACGACTGGGCCATGTCGAGCAGAGGAGCTGTTTGTAAAAGTCCGTCAGAGATAGCACCAAACGACGGTCCACGAGGTACACGAGCCACGTTCGAGTCGCAGGAAACAGCGCCTTCTCTCGTTCGCGTGCGGACGGTGATAAAGATGGGTGGATCGTCAGAGAGATCGGCTAGGCGTAGGAGAACGTGGTCAGCTGAAATGATGAAGTAAGACCTGAACAAAAACCTGGCTATGTTTTGCTCACCTGTGGCAGAAGGCACCTGAGCGATGTTCTTGCCGTCAGCGTAAATGAGGTACGAGTGGACGGCGGCTCGTGATGGCGGCTTGGGCTGATTTGTCACTGGAGTCCACGAGATGAGCAGCGTCCCTGCTTGTGGTCCGTTTTCTGCCTGTACGTTTGTCGGTGGATCGGGAAGGCCAACTAAAATGAGGAAGGATTGTAGATGTACCCACACGACCCCACGCGCGTATGAGTGCGAGGTCTGCATACGCGTGAGTATAAAGCTACGTTGTCATTTCCCTTGGACACGCTCGAGAATCGAATTCCAAGGACAACGCTTTAAAGAGAAGAAGAAAAACCGAAATCTCTTGCTCTTTTTCTCACTCGATACCGCTCTTGACGAATAATTCTCCCAAGAGTTTGCAAAAGACAGCGAAAATTCAATGGGTCGACGTGGAAGTCGACAGCTTTTCGATAGAGTAAGGGAGTTGGTGGGCAATTTCTGATTAATTGAAGAAGAAGAAAACTTTTAGTTGAAGTGTGAATTTCATACAGACTATGTGGCTCAGGAAACTTCCCAAAACCCAGAATAAATATGTCAGAACTAAAGTTGAAAGAAGGGCTCATTTGTTTGGGATCCCGGAATTTTCTGGCTTGTGTAATCGGCGTGGACACTCGCCTTCAGATACGATTTGAATAGACCAGTGGGCGAGCTAACGTTTCCATCGTTACGCAGGACGTTTCTGCTGATTATTGGGAACTATCGGGAATCGTTTCGGCAGGAAATGTTCGATTTGCATGTTTGTTGTGGAACTTCAACCCTATGCTACTCCGCCCACCAAGTGACCAACTAAAATTACAAAAAAGTCAAGCTTTTGGGCGTTAATCGATACTTCCTGAGGGATGCGCTCCGCATTCGACTTCCATTCAGAATCGTAGTAGCGTATGGTGGCCAACCGATGTACAAGTCAGTGCATTTACCCTCCCAAACGAGTCTGCTACCAATTAACAGCCCCAGAGGAACGGAAGGATTGGCCAGCCTAGGCGGATATCGAGCTGAGATGCGAACGCCCACGTGACCCACAATTCCGGAAAAAAGGAGACGAGATTCTTCCAAAATTTTTCAATTAGGCTGATGAAAAAATGAATCTCGAATGAAGCAATTATGGAGAAAGCTTCTATATGACATTGAAAATAGCATAGTTGGCTGATATAAGGGAATTCCTGCCCTGACAATGACGAAAAAAGGCACAAGAAACGCCGTGATATCAAAGCTATAGCAGATAACACTAGGTAGGTAGGCAGGAGGGAAGCCGACGCTGTTGTTGTCTGAAGCAACCAAGCAGGATCGGGCGGAGCGCGTTGACATCGAACGGCAGCACCTGGCCATTGGCATTCTAATCAATTCATGATTCAAGAAAGCCTTAATGAGCTCCACGGAACGCTTAGCACGACAGCCATGTGAATTCATGCTCTGATGGGTAACAGGAGCCTCAACACAACAGCCACACAAACATATTTGTAAACAAACTCGGCCGCTCACGAATGGTCATCAATGCGCCGGGACAGGAAGGAAAAACACGGACTGCAGCCTTTCCAGAGCTTCATCCGGTCATCAGGAGAACGGAGCTGGGATATGATCTCACTGTCGGTTAGTCGTGATGGGAAAGCGCTCAGAGCGAAGCATTGATGAGAGCATTGATGAGAGCAGCGATGTCTACTAAAGCGTAAAACATGGGAGAGAAGACACGAGTGGAAGAAAGGACTCATAGATTCGCCCGCATGTTGCTAAGGAGATGGGCAGGCGGTAGCCGACGGAGCGTGAATGGGGGGTTGTTTCGGTGGTGGTGGAGTGGTAGAGTCAATACAAAGCAAGACAAAAGCAGCTGCGACTGGATCTATACATTATACATCAGAAAACTTGACGCGCTCTAAGAGGAATGCGTGTAACGGGGATGGAGTATGAAACAAAAAAAAGCTCACTTTTCGGCAATGTCTTGAAGTCAAGACACCGTTCGACAGGACGTTGTTCTAGCACAGCTTTCGGATGCTTCGTACGCACGGACACACGATAAATTGTCGACGGCTGCAGGCCTTGTAATTGTACCTCAAATATTTATGAATAAAACCTTGAAATTAACTCGGGATTAAAGCGGGAGGAGTATGAGAAGGAGGCAGTAGCCAGAGACATGGGCAAAGATGAGTTATGACCCGAAGTGATTATTTGGCTCGTTCTCGAGGATTCCAGAGTAAAAGGCAGATTGAAGAGTAACGCGTTGTCTTGGCTGAAGAAATCACAGAAAAACTACTTTCAAAAAGCACACAAATGTAGTGAAGGCTAGTGGAGGCAGTCCAACCACCAACAGCGGCGAACGCCAGCCTGATAGCTTCTAATAACATACGGGCTAGATGCTTCTGTGCTCAGCAATCAGGCTAACGACCATCCAGTCGTGAAGGGACGTCGATGGCTGACGACACCTTGTCGACGTGAGTAGAAGCTAACCGGCCATAAGCATGAGTTCCATGCTGAGCCTGAGCTCTTCACATGCCTCATATACTCTCCTTTCAGATTGCGCTCTTGCATCGGTTTCCAATTTGCGTTATCATCCCTTCAAGCCAATTGAAAGGGAATTCAATGCTGCGAACAACTACTCTCGCTTGTGAAATTGGCACTCTTAGGGAATAGATAGTCCCCCCCGCCCCTCCACCTGATAAAAAATGGGGACCCATTTCCTACACTTTAGGGAATTCTGGATTAAAGTGTTGTTCTTGCAGTTCCGTTACAGCTGGCTAGCAGAATTGGGGGATCAGCAGTCCAGCTATCAGTTCTGTGGTTTACTATGCTTTGAGAGGAATATTCTAGGAGTTCTCGAATGACTAAGAGTGACCCTAAGGTGCCTCCCTGAGTAGTGTGGGGGCGAAACCTATTTGAGTCGTCCCCTGAGTCCGGCTAAAATCGTCCTCGCCCTCGGACGTAATATGCTGTTCGGAATTCCGCGAAGGAGGGAGTTCAGTTGTTCTATGAGACGTCACATCTCAACGGGGAGACTCGCAGCGCGACGTTTTAATTTAGTAAAGAATGCAAAAGCGCGAAGCGTCCTATATCGGATATCAATAAAGCGAAAGACAGACAACGGGACGCCTTAAAGAGCCCGACAGAGAGACAGGCGGATAAGAAGAAGAAGAGGTGGAGGAAGAATACCACTTGAAGAGGTAGAACGGTCTATATAAGTTCAATGCTTACCTGAAACACCGTTGGTGGACAGACTCCTACTTTAACTGCATTCAACGAGACCACGTGGTCCGCATTGCTGTTAGACGGGTACCATCGTACGCAGGCAGACAGTGGCGTGACAGCCCACACCCGAAGATGCTGTGGTGCAACGGCTGCTTCTGCAAGAACGGATTAGCGCAAATCGGAGAGACCAAACCCTTCACCTTACGACCGGCGCTGTTTTTGATGCGCCTACACTTAAAGTGCATCGGAGGCCCTGGATAGCCGCGACCGATTGAAAAAGGAAAGAGTTATTGGGGATGCTTATGCTCAAATCGATGCACCCACCAAGAGAGTTTCATATCATCTTAAGAGTACCCTGATAACTGCCCATAATAGAAAAGAGAAAGTACTGGTAAGGGAGGTCATTACCAAGAGAGCCAAGCAGGTTTGTTACTGTGATGTTTCATCGACCTCTTGTGAAATTGCAGCGGCTTTCAAATGGGCAATGTTTGTCGCATAATACGGTCCCCCGTGGTGCAATTCAATAAACGAATCAATGTTCCACCCACCCTCTCAAATTGCACGGGCGATTAGTTGCCTGGGGAATTTCTTTCTGGCTGTTGGGGTACTGCACCATTTGTCTACTTGCAACCCAATCTGCACGAGATTGTGGATCTACGAATTTTTCCAAAAAGAGTTAACAAGAGATAACGTTGGATAAGCTTGAATTCCTTAGGATTCTGAAGGTAAGCTCCAAAATATTTTGTAATAGCGTGCTTTTTGGATATGGCCCATAAAAGGGTTCAGACTGCTTTTTACAACTTGGAAGTAGAGGTAAAGATGAGTTGAAAAAACCGATTCCAGCCTCCACAAATTTGGAATCAGTACGGGGTCATAAGGACTGGTTCAACTCTAATAAGAAGAAAGGGCTCCTTACTTATTCGACGCAAGTACTTTTAAGTGCTCGTTGGGAAGATTATCGTGTCCCGCTGTCAGAACCAGATTTGAGGCAGACTCTCCCCATCTGTGGGTTTGGCTAGGTAAGTCCTCATCCCGACAAAGAAAGCAATCAATAGGGAGCCGGAAGACCGCTGCATGTTTTCGTGGATAGATTACTCCTTACCGTATATTTCCCTAACAATGAGGCATCAAATGACCGATATAAGGAAAACCGAAAACGCTCTCGAACAAACTTCCTCATCCTCCACCCAAAGCCCCCAGCCCTGCAAAGCTGCTTTACGTTCTTCCCCAACAATTGATTTCCGGACGCTTCCAGTGATTCCCCTATCGTAGTACGTGCCCACACACTGCTCGCGTGAAAACATGAATAAGTCGCGGTGTGGAGCACATCGACTCAGGCCTATTAGGGAAATTAGACACGAGCGAAGTAGATACGATGAGACACATGAAGGGGGAGGGGGCGGCCACGATGCTCTCGTGCGGCTTCCCAGATGAGGCTCTACTCGAATGCAGATTTTTAGAGTAGTAAGTAAACTCACCATTCCCGAGCGTGATCGTACAGGCAGCATCCGGACTGTGACCCTGATCGGACAGCGCACGAACCGAGAGATTCACCGAACCGTCGAGGGCTACGTCTTCCACCAATGCACGACACTGAATAAACGATAAATTAACAGATTGAGTGAAGCTCTTCCAAGACCTAGAGCAGGAATCATACAAAACGCTTGTCTTCTGCAAATAGAAAGCACCTTCCCACGGCGAACAAATGGGAGACAGAAAGCAAAAACACACATATGTGTACCAAACAGGTTACCAGATTCAATTGCAAAATTAAAATGTCAGAAGGGAAGAAGACACAAGAAATGAATGGGAAAATGAATAGGTTCACGAGAAAAATTTTACAATTAGAGGGTAGCGGAGGGAAATTAAAAAGTGAGATGATGAGCAAGAGAAGTAGTAAAGCTAAGGCAGCAGTAGAAAGGGTCCATACCTTGTACGATCCAGGCACAACGGCTCGAACCTGGCCATCAACACAAACGTGGTACTGTGAGACGGCGACGAATGACTCTTCTGGAGGTGACCAAGCGACCACCACCGATCGCGACATCTTCTTCTCCACGACCAACTCACGGGGACATGGTACTGTAAATATTGTTTTCAGACTTTGCGTTAGCCCTCAAGCAAAGAATCTGTGTAGGGGCCGTTATGGACTTTCTCTTGATGTTGGCATGATTTTTGACTGGGGTTTATATTGAACTGAGACTTTCATGACTACAAAACATAAGTTAGTTTAGATCTGGGCCTGCTCGACTCCAAAACCTGCAGTTTAGTCATCGGTGGTCAGTCTAGTGCAACAGCTTTGCTCGGTTCGATGTTAGTGGTATAACACAGAAAGGAATAGGTCCCGTAACATTGTTCCCAGAATCGTTTAGCAATTTTGAAACGCAGATTTGATATCAGCGTAGGAAACCACCTACAAGGTATATATGTCATCTTGAATGGCCACTGCGACCAAGTCTCCTTATAAGATCAGAGTAAGCCACATTTCACTATTGTATTGAATGAGTCTAGAGGATGCGAAAGGGGAGGAGGGGAAGGAGGGGGGGGGGGGGGGGGGNGGACTCATAGTCAAGAGGACTTGTTGTGGGTTGTTCAACCTAATGTGTGAATCGGTCTTAACTGGTTTTTCCAATTTTCAGACCTCGAAGAAGTTGAAAAGGTCGAAACATAGGCTCATTAATGTGGCATTACCATGGAAAGGCTCAAGCCATAAAAAAAAGAGAAAAAAATCAAAAATAGGTAATTTCACAGGTGGCCGCTACTATCAGGATGCTATTGAGCTCTTCAGATAATACCCACGCCTAGCTTCAAAAGCAGTCCAACTGTCGATTCGAAAATTTTCTTTAAAAAAATTTCTTTAGGTATTTTAAAATAGACGCGGAATAAACAGAGAAAATAAATTTTCTCAGGAAACAACACAATTGACAAGCATGGATTTGTTGGAATGGCAGGCTTCATAGTTAGTGATTAACGATCCCCATAAAAGAGGAATAACACATCTGGGCATAGTTTCATTTTCATCATCAAAAAAGTGGAATTGGTCAAAAACAGCTAGCGAGTCTTTGGGCCTATGATACAAAGGCATAGATGTGAGTTCCAGTAGAACACCTCATAAAAGCAGAAAAGGCTTGTTTTCGGATATAATGACTTCTAGCTTGAGCTTTAGCAACTCACTCAAGAGTGATTACCGCGTAGATTATTTACTTATTCAATTGCGAATCTAAATGGAAGTAATGTGCCTACTAGAAAAAAAGTCGCCTTTCCTTCGTGGGGCGTGTCCCTTTTCGAAGAAATGCCGGTCCGATCGAAAAATAAGAAAAAAATGCTATGAAAAATTCGTTGGAATTGATCTACTTTTACAGCTAGAAACCTAAAAAACTGGTTGAATGAAGAGAACGAAAAAAGACCCAAAAGTCGATTGTGGGACACTGTCGCCGTCCCTTGAAAACGGGCGGAAAGGGCAGGTATTAAGGAACAGCCACATACCATGCTCAGTTGAATATACGCTTCTTGGGTGGTATTAGGGCTAAAACAGCTGTCCTGAAGAATCGAGCCGTTTTGTCTGATTATACCTCTCTGGAGTCTCTGAATGGCTTCGTCTATGACTTTTGCAAGTCAAATTCATGGATAGAGGATTAATGCCCCATACTTGGTACGTGCCCTACAATTCCCTTCAGCTCTTACCAAATTTTTCCAATGTCGGTAGTCCCCTTGACCCTAGCTCACACTGAAAACTGAAGTGGAATTTAAAAAGCAAAGGCAAAGGGGAAATGAGTTGGAAAGGAAGCCATCCAACAAGATGAAGAGAAGGACTGCTTAAAATTAGTAATTACCCAGCGCTTCATTGGCTAATAACCATTCCACTGCCATTTCATTGGAGGTTCCCCTTGAAGACCCGGTGGTAACATGGTTGCACTGGGTAGACTGAGTAGGAACCAGAAGCCTGTACTTGCATTTAAATGATCAATAAATATTTGGTCCTCTCAGGCATTTCGCATTACCCACATTTCCTAATCGATGTCCTCTTTCGAAACCCCACTCTACAGAAAACACCGTTGAAAGATGACCCTCCCCCCTCACCTCTTCCTGCTACTTCGCCAATTATTTAGGAAGAATCGGAAGCGTCCAAATGGCAAATCACTGTCTCCTGGTCTCCCGTGACTCTCCGAACATTACGAATTCCCTTGAATCCTGGTGGTTTTTCACTTCCTTTAGTTCCCATCGTAGGCTTTTCTAATCTCTTTCAAAGCAGGGTATCCTTTTTCTATCGAATTTGTGCCTATAAGGGAAATATGCTGTTGACTAACTAATGTACGTGGGCGCAACATGTCTTCTACTAGGAATTCTGGCAAGTTTCCAGATTCGGTATGGAACCGGGGGAAATGCCTTCATCATCGTAACCCTCTGCATCGAGCTGCCCTCAAAAGAATGCACATGGGAAGGGTATGCGTATGCAGGGAGTGTGTGGTGTGTGAGCTATTAAGTGGGTTAGCTTTTCCTCTTGAGGCTACGGGGCATCGATCGCCGGAGGCCGCAAGGAGTAGGCGGACACGGCTTTTGTTGCATGACGCAGTCATGATACAGGTCAACGAGCAGCCATAGTAACTGCCAGAAAAACCAAATTTGACCGGTTCTGACCGAGGGGTTACATGTGGGGAAGGATAGTGCTTATATCACCAGGGATTGCCCAAAGAAAATTGGCAGAATATGCATTGTTATTGGGTTATAAAGAAAAACAGTAATTGAAGAACAAAGGGATTTTACATGGAAATTTTTCGAGGAAAGATTCCAAATCAAATGTATTGTAATGCAAATCGACTGCAAAACTTTGAAGGTCGACTATGAGGACGACAACGGCGAAAAAGATAGGAAGTGACATCATAAAACACCAAAAACGAGTTGAGCGGAACAACATAAAACGAATTCTTCCGCAAGAAACAAAAAACAACCATAAGTTTAGTTTTGTAAACAAAGTAAATAAACGGTGACGAACCTCTCGGAGTGTCGTTCTGCTTGATCTCTTGCACGGTGACCTTGGAAACGTCGGCCGGAGGATATGGGCAGACGGAATCGGGTAGCTGGCTGTGATCAGGTTCCGAAAAGTCATGAGTGATAGTGGAATGATGCTGAGGAACTTGAAGGGGGAAGGACGGCGATGGAGCTCGGGCATTACAAAGTAGCACCGAGTCCGGTACCCGTTCGACGTAGTTGGACGGCACCAATCCGGTTCTGCCGTCAAGTGTTTCGGCACGATAAAATCCGTCCGAGTCCATCTCGCCTTTGACGAGCAGTACATCCCCTGGCGCCAACGTCAGCTCCAACTGAGGATTCTCGTTTGGAGAGTCACGCAATGGTAGGTACTGGAATAATGCACGAAATACACGTGCGTGCGGTTTATTTCGTAGAGTGAGCAGTAATGAATCTCCGGAAGGAGGACCGGCACCAGCCACCAGTGGGCCAAGGCCCTGAACCGGTGGAGCCGGACTGGCTGACAAGGACATGCGTGCGGGCCCTAAACGGGCACCATCCGTGGGCCCTCTCAGTCTCGCTCTGGGCCCCCCGCGCCCGCTCCCACTCCCTCAAGCCATGCACTCCTCGTCGCAATCGATTTCGTCTGCCACCCACCCTCGACCAACCCTCTACATTTCCCACTTCTAATAAAAAATCAATAGCATCCCCTTACTACTTATACTATACGCATCGAAAGCGGTGAGAAGCCTAATGAATTGGACTTTTCAAGCAGAAAATATGAATTCAAAGGTGATGCAAATCAACCCTCCAATTAGAAAAAAATGAAAGTCAAAGCGGAAAAAGGATAACAATGGAGAGGGGGTTTTAATGAAGGAATTTACAGATTTCGCATTATCAACTGCTGATTAACAGGGGAAAATAGTTGTGTTTGATATTTCCAACAGCTCACAGAATAAAAGTTAGACAAAGGGTAAAAGAAGAGTAAAGAGCATGAATGAAATGCAAGCTGTCCCAAAGAAATTCTGGAAGCGTATGGGGGGCTTGGCTTTGATTCTTTCAAAAGCCTAAATGAGAAATGAGCACTCGGCAAATGAGGGATTTCCTGAAACGATGACGGACAATTCTAACGCGAGGCGGGGTCGGCAGGGATACGGTGCCATCTACAAATGATCTCAGCTTGGAATCGCTTCAAATGTAGTCTGATATAGCCCATAAAGTACTCGAAGTTGAAAAATCTTGCTGAAATGGTCTGGACCTCACATCTGTTCAGCTAATGTTCCATTTTGCAGACATCCTTTTCAAAATCAGGATCTTCAAAATGAACGCCCAGTTTCTGTTGATCCTATCAAGGTATGCACTACAGATGAGCTCTGACCAGAACTCTAGAGCTGCTCCAGTAGCCCACACATTTTTGCCCATTGTGAGGTCACTTCAGTCGGTTTGGGAAGTCTCTACCGCATCCAGTTTTACAAATGAAATTGTGGACGTTGATTAGGGGTTTTTATGATGCTCCACAAACATGCATGGCTTCCATTAAGAAGTACTGGATAACTGGCCGCGTATAAATGATGAAGACCCGAAACGTTTAGCCTCTATACATAATTACACTGTTATTCGAATGCTTATATGGCCCTGTACAATGCATTGAGGGGTGCAGGCGATGCAAAAACGCCATCCCAGAGGAATCTGGGAACAACCAGTGGAGAAAACCTCTTCACACCTGTTACATGGTTCAGCGAACACAGACGAAACAGTCGATTACTTCATAAGATTTTTGAAGTCGTTGAAACGGTTCCTTCCTGATGATAAGAAAGACCACGTGCTCATTAAAAAGTCCTGAACTCTTCGGGCAAAGCTTACTGGTCGATTTTAAAATGGAGAAAAGGAGTGTCAAGAACCAAAAACACTACACAGATCGCAGATGGATTAGGGGAAGGGCTTCCTCCCCCGATTGAACTGCTCGAGTGTCTTCTTGTTCTTCTTGTGGTACTCTTGCACCTTCGAAAGTACTGCGCTTAAATGTACTGGATTGAATACATTTGATCTTTCTTTCTTTTACCCTAAGCCTAGCCGAGGTCCTCTATCATGGATGGTAACTGAGAAGTGCATGAAAGTCACCTTCAATAAATCATTTCTCTGTCTTCACTGGGAACTCGACAAGCTATCGGAAATGCTATGTCCAGCCTTCACGTCGGATTTTCCATCCAACTACTGTATATCTGACGATGATTATTTATTCGAATACCGGATTGAGGTTCTGGTATTGTTATAGGGATGAGAAGAAATCTTCAATCTATTTGTCCAGGCAAGACGCCAGCCAAATGTCCTAACTGCTCTCTTTGCCCTATTTATCAAAACTTTCGCAATAAATGGATTAAATTAAGAATCCCCAGGGAAAGTGTCGTTTGCGCTGAGGGAACCATCAATTCTAAATGAATATAACGGGAGAAGATCACGACAGTTTGGTACACGTGCTGAACAAAGGTAAAAGCTGCAGCAGCTCTTCTGCGCTTTTCTCAAAATGTGGCTGAGTTTATGGGAGAATCGGATTGAAATGCAAGGAACTCAACGACGACGAAATCCAGTACCTATCGAGGCCACCCAGGAGCGCTGTTACATACAGAACATTCAATCGCGTCCGAACAAATTATCCCAAGTAGTGTGGAATGGTGCGTGGTAGCCTGGGTGCGAGATAATTAATTGTCAATATGGGCCCAATATTGAAGTGAATACCGTTTACCAAGGCTACACAATAGTACATCAAGGAAGCACCTCAGTATAGCCGACATTGCTGCCTAAGGACGTCGCTGAAGACTGCTCCATCCCATTGCGCGTCAATACCCACTCCTAAGCTTTTTTGCCAACCTTGCTGGAGACCGGCGGCTGGGAGTTCACGGCGTCACAAACTTTCCGCTGATAATTAACGTTTTTCCTATTCGGAACTTGCCCAGTGGATCGCTGGCCCTAAAAGTCGTCAGTTAGCTCTTCAACGTCGCCGAAGTTGGAAATCGATGGGTCTGGTCGATACCGCCTTCATGGTATTTCTGTTATAATAATCCTACAAATCCCACAAGCTACGTATTGATCTAGCCGCTCTCGACTAAGTAATAAGACGATCTAGGCCTGTTATTCAAAGGATTACAATTTCGGTTTGTCACTGCAGTCTGCCAAATTGTGCAGATTGCCAGACTGCATTCAAATGCAATGTCTATCCAGGAGTGCCAGTGATCGTGGAAAAAAGAAAGCTAGATTACTGCTACAAATACAAATCATCAATAGATGAAGTATTGCTATTAGTAACCAGGAAGCTCGTTCCTTATTGCAGAGGCTTATCATTCATGAAGCCAGTGGCGGTGAGGAGTGAGGGAACCAGTCAGACCTACTGAATCCGAATCCTGTGTTCAGACGAGAGAAAACCGTGCCGAAATTGGACAAAATCTTACGAGAATCCTGGTGTCTCCGGAGATTCCGCATAGAAAGGTTAACGTGCTTCAAAAACCACTTTTATTTAAATAGTGGCGGGTGCAGCAGCTGAAATCGTCTCAAACCACATGATTCTGTTCTCTTATAGGAATGAGCTGAGAAGTGATATATGTAGGTACCTTCGCCTGCCCATAGTGAAAGCGAGACTCTCCAACCCGGCTGTCTTCACCAGTACTCACCGCGTAGAGAACTTACTCTTTCACCTGAACCCTCGCCAAATTTTTTTTTTGACTGACTAAAGCCTGAGGGCACGTGCGTCGTTGTTATGGTCCCCCACATGAATGCATTACACCCAGTTTATACATTTCACCATCAGGGAGTGCTCTTCCAATTGTAAAAAGATCCCCGCAGGTTACGGAATTTTGCTGTAGTTACGAATGGTTCTTCACAAAGAAATTTTCTTCGAAAGAGTGCTCTGAATGGAAGTATGAATGGAGATTACCTTCGAATGAGAAACAATTAAAAATGTAGTAGCAAAGAAAAACGGAGCGTTTCAAACGGAAGAGATGTCTGCAGGCTTCATCGATGCTCTATACTCTTATAATTCGCGCTATAGAGAGTTTAAGGTTGGACGAGACTAGGACGTATTTGGCCATCGCACTGCTTCTAAGGAATTTTTGCAACATGAACGCAATCTTTTGCCAGTAAAGGAAGTGAATAAGAGATTACATTAAAACGAGAGTCTGTGTGACATGGTGGAGAAGAGAAGGGTGGGCGGGACGGGCTATGTCCATTTTAAAATGATTTATGCACTCACACCCCTGTAGCATGCCAGTCCCCCTGCTTAGAACATCTGTTATTTCGCACGGTTTCAAAATGAGTTATCTGATCTCCTCCCCACTTGGCCCTGCCCGTTGCCGTCCCCTCGCTCCATCTCAACATAACATTTCCACAATGTTATATGGTACTGTATATAGTTTATATAACAAAATTATCAGATTGAGGAAATCGCTGTAGAAACTTAAAGGCACAATTCACGATAAAAATGGTTTCTGAGATTCCCCCATGGGATGAGTTCGACGCCCCCTCGTGTGCCATAACTGGCGCTATCAGTTCGGAAAACGGCCTAGGCAGGGCGTTATTCAAGCTCAAAGATTGTCCGGTGTGTATCCTAGGACGAGTTTCATCGCCGATGTACAAGCTGCAGCATTCACAAGGAACCCACGTAGGAGATTCAAGCAACTTGTCATGACCACTAGCGATAGTGAAAGGCAGTTCTATACATTTCTGGGGGTGTGGGACGTTAGTCTCGCCCGACATTACTTCTCGCCGAGGTGCGAAGTGACCTCATTAATGACTAACCTTATCTTAATTACCCGCCTCCTCCTGATCGTAACTAACCTTATCTTACTTATGAGAGTGATGGCAATGA